AACTCTCTGAACTGCAGTTCTTCTTGACTTCTTCAGTATGCACCCTGGATCCTATGCCCTCCTCGGAGGACTGTTGTCTCCTGTTCGGATTCTGTTGGGGCCGGGTGCCTGGATGGTGGCCCTGGACCTCCAGGTCACTTCTTGGCACGTTCCTCTCCAGTTTTCTGGGACTGGCACGGTTGGTGGTGGGGCTTCAGGTTTGCTGTTTTTATTGCCTTCCCTATTTTGTAATGGGCACTTCGTATACTTATTGCATCTCTACCGGATCTTAGTGCCCTGTCTGAGTCTGAGATTTGGTGTCTGGCCTACCTCGACGACTGGCTGGTGTGGGCTCCCAGTCAGTCCGCTTGTCTGCTCACCAAGAAATGGTTCCTTCCAGATCGCCGGGTTTGGTTTCCTGGTGATCTGGAGGCTTTTCCATCTGTTTCCGTCCCGGGTTCGGACCTGGGCCTTGTTTTGGGCTCTTGGGCCACTCATTGTCTTTCCCTCCAGAAGTGTTACTGCGGCTGTGGTCCCGCCTTCGGCTGTACAGGAGGGGGTCCCGGGTTGCTCAGCAGTTGCTTGAGCGGTTGTGCGGGAGTCTGCACTTCGGCGTGCTTGTCTGCCCGCGGAGTCGGGTTTGGCTACGGCGTCGGTTGGTTCCTGCGGAGACTCCCCTTCTGCCTCTTGCATTCCTTGGGTTCCTCCGGGAATCTTGTGTTGGTGCTGCGTCTCCAGCTTCCTCTTTGGGGTTTTCGGGGTTCCGTGCCTTAGCACCTCCCCGAGCCTTCGCTCGATGTGTTCACGGACTGGTCGTCTCTCGGCTGGGGCTTTGTGACCAGTGCTCACCAGGTCGGCCGAGGTTGATGGAGTCTGTCTGTCCGTCGGGCTCACAGCACGGTTCGGGTGTTCGTGGCTGTCTGGTTTGCGCTTCGGAGGGTTTGGGTCACTAGGTGCTCTACCATTCAGCTCTGTTCGGACTGTTCTCTGGTGGTTCTTGCCGGAACCACAGGGGTTTGGCTAACCGTGAGGTTCATGTCCGGGGTGTGTCCTGTGTCCTGGCGGACAGCTGTCTCGGTTCATTCCTCTTCGTGGGTTGGCCAGTCGTCGCCGATTCGTTCTGATGGCTCTGTTGGGCGTATGGACTCCTGGCCATGGACGTCTTCGGGTCAGCGTAGTCTAGGCGTCGCCCATTTTGTGGCGCCCTTCCCCACCTGCTAGGACTTCACGGTGGATGCTTTCGACAGGACTGGTCGAGGTGGGGGGCACCTGTTCCTCTTCTCCCGGTCCAGCTGTTGCTTCGAATTCTGGCTCGGTTGCAGCCCATTTCCACGAGAGCAGTCCTTATGGTTCCATGGTGGCCGACCCGGCCTTCTTTTCAGACGCTGCTTGATAGGTGTCTGAACCCGGGGCGTGTTTCCTGAGGCTCCGCCTCTTTCAGCAGGCCGAATCGGTCCTGTCCCTGACTGGTTCGGCCTTCTCCTTGGCTCTTTGCGTCTGGTATTTTGACGCGTGTATCACCATCTCTATGGTGTTCAGGTGGCTTTGTTGACGGTGTCCCACCTGCGAGCTTCGTCTTGGCGACAGTATGATGTTTCATACGTTTTCTCGTGTTTTGTTTCCCCTCCGGCCTGCTCATGCATCGCCTGAGCCATCCTGGTCCTTGTTCAGGGTGCCTTCTTATCTTCCCCTCAGTTTGTGGTAGCCCCTTCGGTTCAGTTTCCTGCTCTTTGGTACTGGTGGTAGCTTTATACGTGTGCAGCCTTTCTCTGTCCTGGCGACGGTCGAGATGGCTGCTTTCCGGAGGGGTTATCTTGAGGTTATCTTGAGATGATTTCGGGGCTTTTTAGTGTCCCCGCGGCCCGGTCCTCGACCAGGCCTCCACCCCCAGGAAGCAGCCCGTGACAGCTGTCTAACACCCAGGTACCTATTTACTGCTAGGTAACAGGGGCATAGGATGAAAGAAACTCTGCCCATTGTTTCTCGCCGGCGCCTGGGATCGAACCCAGGACCACAGGATCACAAGTCCAGTGTGCTGTCCGCTCGGCCGACCGGCTCGGGTTCTTGGGGTATTGGTACTTGATTGGTTTGGCCGGGGGGGGTGTCCTGTGTTGTCCGGTTGTGCTTTTTCCAGTTGCCGGCGTTCCGTGTCTGGGGATGCGCTGTGGTTGATCCGGTTCCTTCGTTCCCTGTTTTCAGGGCTCAGGTCTCCCAGGTCGTCCGCAGAGTTTTCATTCTTCCAGCCTGCGGTCTGTCTTTGCGCCCGTGCTGTTCAGACGTTTGCAGCTTTTGCTGCTGTGTTGGCGACGTCTCGGGCTCGTTTCGGGCGCAGGGATTTGTGGGTCGCACAGGTTCTTGGCCGCCCATCTTTATGCGCGTCTGCTCCTGGGCGTTCTTGTTGCCTTGGGTCGCAGTTTTGCGACCGGTTGTCTTGGCTTTGCGTTGCAGAGTTTGTGGCGGCCGCCTCCCGGGTTAGCCCTTTCTTTTCCTTCTCTTTGGGTATGAAGCTCCAGGGAGCTGTAGGGGCTCCCCACAGAAAACCAGCGTTGAATGTAATGAAACGCCATTTTCTGGGTGAGCCCCGGAGGCTCCCTGGTAACCCTCCCTTCCACCGGTCGGCAGTTTTTTCGCGTTGGTTGAAGCTTAGCTTCCGAACTGAAGCTTGGCAGCCGGCGCGGTAGGTCCGGGGCTCCCCCCTCCCCCTCCCGGGGCGGGGAGGGCTGCGCGGACGATCGGCGCGGCAGTAAAGTGTGATGTTTGCTTGTTTACTTGTGATTGTAGGGAGTTTCTACCTCTCTGTTCGTTTTTTTTTTTTTTTTTTTTTACCATGTGGGGTTTGTTTTGTTATGCCTACCTTTCTTGGTGCCTAACCCCGGTCGATGGCAGATAAGGAAAACCCCAACCACAAGGGGTTTTCCAGGGCCATTGCTCCCTGAAACCTCTCTGAAGGGGCCAGGTTCTGGCGCGGGTCCCTGGTAGGTCTGAACTCCTTAGCTAATGTCCCGGTCTAATATAAAATACATTAGCCCGATTAGTTCCAGGGAGCCTCCGGGGCTCATCCAGAAAATGGCGTTTCATTACATTCAACGCTGGTTTTTTTTTGCTCTTCGTAGGTTGTCTTCTCTTTCGTGTTGGGTTGTCTTGTCCTTCTTGGGATTTAAGGACACCAGTTATTTGATGTTTCTTACTGTCGTCTCGTTATCTTGGGATTTAAGGACACCAGTTATTTGATGTTTCTTACTGTCGTCTCGTTATGTGCGGCGCTGGCAGAGCTGCTCTGGCATGCGTTCGGGGTGGACGTCACATCTGCCCCGTTTCGTACGCTTTCTCGTGTTTTGTTTCACCTCTGGCGTGCTCATGCATCACCTGAGCCGTCCTGGTCCTTGATCAGGGTGTCTTCTTATCTTCTCAGTTTGTGGTAGCCCCTTCGGTTCAGGTTTCTGCTCTTTGGTACTGGTGGTAGGTTTGTACGTTTGCAGCCTTTCTCCGTCCTTCTGGCAACGGTCGAGATGGCTGCTTTCCGCAGGGGTTCTTGGGTTATTGCTGCTTGATTGGTTCGACCGGGGGTGCGTCCTGTGATGTCCGGTTGTGCTTTTTGCCGTTTCCTGCGTACCGAGTCTGGGAACGCTCTTTGGGTTGATCCGGTTCCCCTTGTTCCCTGTTTCAGGGCTTGGGTCTCCCAGGTCGTTCGCAGAGTTTTTAAGTCTTCCAGCCTGCGGTCTGTCCTTGCGCCCGTTCTGTTCGGACGTTTGCAGCTTTTGCTGCTGTGTTGGTGACGTCTAGGGCTCATTTTGGGTGCAGGGATTTGAGGATTGCGCAGGTTCTTGGCCGCCCATTCATTATGCGCGTCTGCTCCTGTGCGTTCTTGTTGCTTTGGGTCGCAGGTTGCAGCCTGTTGTCTCGGCTTCGCGTTGCAGAGTTTGTGGCGGCTGCCTCCCGGGTCAGCACTTTTTTTTCCTTCTCTTTGGGTATGAAGCTCCAGGGAGCCGTAGGGGCTCCTCGCAGAAAACCAGCATTGAATGTAATGAAACGCCATTTTCTGAGTGAGCTTTGGAGGCTCCCTGGCAACCCTCCCTCCCACCGGTTGGCGGTTTTCTCGCGTTGGTTGAAGCTTAGCTTACGAACTGGTGCTAGGCAGCCGGCGCAGTAGGTCTGGGTCTCCCCCCTCCCCCTCTCGAGGCGGGAAGTGCTGCGCGCACGATCGGTGCAGCAGTAAAGTGTGATGTTTGCATGTTTGCTTGTTTCCTTGGGATTGTAGGGAGTTTCTACCTCTCAGTTCGTTTTTTTGTTTTAGTTTTTTTACCATGTGGGGTTTGTTTTGTTATGCTTACCTTTCTGTGTGCCTAACCCCGGTCGATGGCAGATAAGGAAAACCCCAACCACAAAGGGGTTTTCCAGGACCATTGCTCCCTGAAACCTCTCTGAAGTGGCCAGGTTCTGGCGCGGGTCCCTGGTAGGTCTGAACTCCTTAGGTAATGTCCCGGTCTAATATAACATACATTAGCCTGATAAGCTCCAGGGAGCCTCCGGGGCTCACCCACAAAATATCGTTTCATTACATTCAACGCTGGTTTTTCCTGGTGAGGGACAACAGTGACACAGGCAAAAGTTAATAGTGAAGGTAAAAAAGTTTAAGGAAATTCTCATTCACAGTGATTGTGATAAATAAGTGGAATGAGCTTGAACCAGTGGTGATGGAAGAATAGAGTATGATAGAGTACTGAAACATCGAGATGTATAAATGCACCGTGTATAAAAGCTGTGAGGTGAGATATTAGAGCTAGTTTTGCTCCTCGTAAACTCGGCTAGGGAAGCGCAACTCAACTGCAAATTGTTTTGCCTCATAATTAAGTGTGGCTCTAAGTAATATTTTTTTACTCCTGCTAGACTCCACTCCAAATAATTTTAGAATTTGTTTGTATCACCTTTGGAAACCATGTTTTATGCTGTTGAATTACCTGTATACACTTAATATTTCACATGAAATGTTGTATAAATACTGTTGTTTTTGTTTTTTTTAGTTTGGACGAGAGCACGCTGGAGGGTTTGCTAGAGGAAGTAATTGTTGTGATGATACCTCTAGTCAAGGAACGACCCAAGCAGATGGCGCCAGTCTTGACCCACATACTGGTAATGCTGACTACTTACATTCAATTTTGAGGAGTTTATCCCTCTAACTACTACTGTAGCTCTCAAGTGATGTGGGCAAGTGTGCTATAACCTGGGAGATTTAACCTCTAATGTTATGTTATTGATAAACGTACATGTCTGTTCACGCACAAAAAAAGGATAAAAATAATTAAAGTATATTTTTTCCTTATTGCATGATTAAAGAAAAAAATAATATGATTAAATGAAAATGTTAAAAACGAATAATGATAAGGAAAGTAAGGGAAAGAAAGAAGTAAATATATTCCGATTACATATTGAAGAACAGAGCCTCTTGAAGAACAGATTGTGTGGAAGTTTAGTTTAGTTCATTTATTATGCACCCCATACTCATCTTGTGGGCGGTAGTGGAAAGTGTTACAGAGGCACATAATGGGCTCAGGGACGAGTGGAAGAAAACCACAAAGTTTGAAAGTTTTAGGGAGACCTTGCTGTTATCTGTTTTGCTTCACTTACTTTCTGGAAGTCTCATGACTATTGTGTGAGGCTCTCTAGCTACATAGAGCTATCAAGACCCAATTGGAAAGGTGTTTCATTATATTCAACGCTTGTTGTCAGGAGGAGTCCCTTCCCATACAGAGTCACATCAGTTATAGAAGTCCAGTATGGCTTTCTGGAGACCAGAGCCAGAACCTGGGCCCCTCACAGAGACACAAGGAACAGGAACATTCTTAGATGACAAAAGCCAGAGTGTATGGAAGAATTGTGTGAAAACCTGGTCCAGCTACATTGGAAGCCTCAGGAACCCGAGTGGTATCAGTAGAACTTCAGGTTGCAATCCTTTTGACCATGTCGTGGCCTGATTGTCTGAGGCGTGTGCCTGGGAATACCCAACGCATAGGTTTGAATCCACATGGATTTTCTCATTGATGAATCATTTTAGTGTGATTACTCTCTGTGAACAGGGTATTGTTATGATCACCCTCACCAAGAAAATATCCAGAAAATAAGTCAAGCGGTATAGAGTATTGCAAGGTTCACAAAGAAAGAAGCCAGACTCAGTGGTTCACACGAAAGCTCGAACCCGTTAGTGCAAATGGGTGCCAACAGGTGGCAGCTTCTGGGAGATCCAGGCTCCCATGTCAACAATGGGTTAGTCTTGTACCTGATGCTGATGAAGTCATTAGACCTTCCTGAGTCACCAGGCTGTAGCAAGTCTCATTATTTTCCTTAGTTAAGGGGGCATAACTGCGTTTCTTGTAAGTTGTTCAATGTCAACCAATCTTTTCTGTGGGGAGCCCCTACGGCTCCCTGGAGCTTATCGGGCTAATGTTTGTTATATTAGACTGGTACAATAACTAAGGAATTCAGATCTACCAGGGACCAGCGCCAGAACCTGGCCCCTTCAGAGAGGTTTCAGGGAGCAATGGCCCTGGAAAACCCCCTTGTGGTTGGGGTTTTCCTTATCTACCATCGACCGGGGTTAGGCACCCAGAAAGGTAGGCATAACAAAACAAACCCCACATGGTAAAAAACTAAAACAAAAAAACGAACAGAGAGGTAGAAACTCCTACAATCCCAAGGAAACAAGCAAACATCACACTTTACTGCCGCCCCGATTGTCCATGCAGTCCTTCCCGATCCGAGAGGGGGAGGGGGGAGCCCCATACCTTTCGCGCTGGCTGCCTAGCTTCAGTTCGTAAGCTAATGTCAACCGGGATAGACGCCTCTCTGGCCTCTGTTTCCTAAGCGGTGTTTGCCTTGTGTGGTGTTCACTGCCGTGTGTTGTGTTGTGCGGTGGCCAGGAGTACCTCATCAGTGCTGGGGCTACATGCACTTAGGGGCTTCCTTCCCTAAGCGCCCTGTGAGTACTGCCCTTGCGTGACAGGGTTATATTCCCTGGGGCGTTCGGGAACCATTCTCGTAGAGGTTCTTGCTGCTTGGCATTTGCCTCACCCTTGGGGCCAGCTGGGGCTTGGGGCCCTTGTTTGGTCCTGGGTAGGGACTGGTATTGTGCTGGTTAGGGCATCAAGGTATTGCACAGCCTGCCACCTAAGCGGCGGCCGGTTCCTGTTGCCTCTGGAGACGGTGTACTTTTGCTGGGATTTTCTTTTGTTTTTATTTTCATATTTCTGGTGGGGGTCTACCTAGTGTGGCTATAGTTCCACTGGTAGTGTTTAGTGGCCCTCTGCTAGGCCCCATAATTGTACACATCGCAGGGGTTTTCAGTGCTATCCTCTACCCTCTTGTTATTTTTGGGTTTCTTAACTGGTTTAGCAACACCTTGCCTGGGCTTCCCGTAGCAGTCAGCCTACAGGCCCTGGAAACCCCTGTCTGGGCTCGGTGGACCATTGAATGTGTCTTCCGGGTTCTAACCCATCTTGTACGGGGTCGTTGGTTGCTGTGCCCTTGTCTCCGGGTGACAGTCGCCACTTTTATCTCCATCATGTTGCCTGTTGGGTCACTGACACCTTGACCCGGAGTCTTGCGAGACATTCTCTGCTTGTTCTCCAGTACTCTCCTGATGTTATTACTGTTCAGAGTACAGGCAGCATCTGTGTTGTAAGCTAGGTTAGGTTGCTGCAACATGCTAGGTTGGTTTCCCACTCGGATGTCCCGGGGCCTCCCCATTTTGGTTAGGTGCTGTTCGCCCCTTTCCCTCCCTGTTCCCGGCTCCGGACCGTCTTCGGATTTTGGGGTCGGGGCGGGGTTTAGTTGGGGCTGAGACTCGGGCGGTTTTTGGGGGCTGCCCCGTTCACGTTGGGGACGGAGGTTTTCGAGCCTGTTCCTCCTGCCAAGGCTTCTGGGTCTTACCAGCGGCCCTTTCTTGCTGCCTTTTCCATGGACTCTTCCTTTTCTTTAAGGGCGGTGGGCTTGGAGGATGGCTCTGCCCCGGGGCCTCTGTTGCTGGTTCCTGGGGCTGTGGGGAATGCCTGCTAGCAGTTCTGGGGCGGTTTTCCCCTGCCTGGGTTTTCTGCTGTTGGGCGGAGTTTTTGGCCCATCCAGTCTGCTAGCTTCCCACTTTTGCTGGCGTGTTTTCGTATCTTTTGCGTCGGTCACAACCCTCTGTTCTGGTAGCCATTTTCTTCTGCCGGTTTCCCGGCATGGCCACCAGGGCGGCGTTGCGGTTTGTTTACATGCACCTGGGTGTGCGAGCGAGCGTCTTGGGTGAGTTTTACACCCTTTTTCAGGGGTTCTGTTATTGTTCTGTTGTCATTTCTTTGCTTTTCTGGTGTTTTCTGACCATTTCCTGTTCCTCTGGGAACATTTCAGGGTTGATTTTACACCAGGTTTTCCATTTTGTCTGTTTTGGGTCTGGGCCCTGGGGTTTGGGCTCAGTGTCCTTGGCTGTTATGCTTGCTCCCACACCTTGTCCCTCAGTTTTCGGTCTGTTTTAACCGTTTCCCTGGGGGTTCTGTTTGAGGGCTGTGCTTTGCCTTTCCGTGGTGTATCTCCGCCGGCAAATGTGGTGGTTTGGTTTCCCCCTGGTTCGATTCCGGGTTCCTTTGGGTTCTTTGGTTTCGTTCTGGAGGTTTCTTCCTCTTGGGCCCCCTTTGTGGGTTCAGTGGGCTTTGTTTCCTCGTGTGTGACCTGGTTCTGCCTTCTGGAGTGCCGGGGTCTTCCTGGCTTGCAGACTGATCTTTTTGGGTCTTGGCACGTGTTGTGGTTGCACTGGGACTTTGGGGTTTTGTTGTCGAGGTGGGCCTTTTAATGCAGTTTTGTGCCTTCTTTGCCTGGCCGGCGTGGTGCTCTCTGCGCACTGGTCGAGGGCTTGTAATTTTCTTTTCACATGTATGTGTGTATACACATGATCTTGTGTACGCTGTGTGTGTGTGTGCACATGTAATTACCTAAGTGTAGTTACAGGACGAGAGCTACGCTCGTGGTGTCCCGTCTCCCCAGCACTCTTTGTCATATAATGCTTTGAAATTACTGACGGTTTTGGCCTCCACCACCTTCTCACTTAACTTGTTCCAACCGTCTACCACTATAATTACAAAAGTGAATTTTCGTATATTTTTCCGGCATCTGTGTTTAGCTAGTTTAAATCTATGACCTCTTGTTCGTAAAGTTCCAGGTCTCAGGAAATCTTCCCTATCAATTTCGTATGTGCATACATGCGTGTGTAATTACCTAAGCGTAATTACCTAAGTGTAGTTACAGGATGAGAGCTACACTCGTGGTGTCCCGTCTTCCCAGCACTCTTTGTCATATAACGCTTTGAAACTACTGACGGTCTTGGCCTCCACCACCTTCTCACCTAACTTGTTCCAACCGTCTACCACTCTGTTTACAAAAGTGAATTTTCTTATGTTTCTTCGGCATCTGTGTTTAGCTAGTTTAAATCCAAGGCCATCTTGGTCTTAAAGTTCCAGGTCTCAGAAAATCTTCCCTATCGATTTTATCAATTCCTGTTACTATTTTGTATGTAGTGATCATATCACCTTTTTCTTCTGTCTTCTAGTTTTGGCATATTTAATGCCTCTAACCTCTCCGTAGCTCTTACCCTTCAGTTCTGGAAGTGTAACATACCTTGTGTGTATGTGTATATATATATGTGTATGTGTATATACATATGTATACATGTGTATATGTGTGTGTGTATTTTTTTTCTTTCGGAATGGGCTCTGTTCCCTTCTCTGTTGACAGGGTGCTGGGGGAGCAGCTTGCTCTCTTGACTCTCGCATGGTCCCGCAGTTAGTGGGCGCTTTTGGTTGTCTTCCGGCCTCTGGTGGCGGTGGTGGACAGCTTCTCCCCCTCTGGAGGGTTCAGGGCTGGCAGGGTGGGCTTCTTCCCCTGCGCTTCGTCATGTCATCTAAGTGGGTGCGTTGGACGTGTCGATCTGCCCCATCCTTCTGGGGTTCCCGTCTGCTCTTTGCAGACATGGGCCTGTCAAATCTGCAGTTCTTCTGGACTTCTTCAGTCTGTGCCCTGGATTATATGCCCTCATCGGAGGACTGTTGTCTCCTGTCCGGCTTCTGTTGAGGCCAGGTGCCTGGATGGTGGCCCTGGACATCCAG